AAACAACATTAATTAACAAATGAGTTAATTTACATCGCACATATTGTCTGACGTGAGAAGGATTGGCGTATAAGCATAATGTAAACGGTACGTGAGCAATCGACGCGATAACTCGAAATTTATGACGCTGCGCTCTGGAGCTCGATTCTTGAATTCATTCAAACGAGAAACGTACGTGAAGGTTCCGCTCTTACAGAAAGGTTGTAGGTCGATTGGCCCGTTCGCGTAGCTTTCAGCCAATCGACCATGCAACTTTTCCGGTGGGGCAGAATTTTCACATACGTTTTCTCCTTCGGACGAATTCGAGAATCGAACCCCCGGGCAACGCGCGCGATTACAGAGCGACTATCTTACCGGGCGAGTTTAGCGGGGACGCGAACCCTCGCAGGCTCGACCGATAACGGCAAGTCGGATTACAGCCTTACCGACGGCCTTTCGCGTCCGACTCGCTAAGGGCGAGGAGGGGGGTGGAGCCAATTAGGACGCGAGCGAGCGAGTAGTACGTAGTGCCGAAGCGCGAGTCGCCGCTCGTCGCGGGCAGTCGCGGATCTGTGTCTGACGCGGGTTGTTGTTGTCGTCGTCGGCTGGGTGGTCAGTGCGCCCGTCGCGCCCGTCTCGCATCGCGAAATTTCCGTGCGTCTCGCCGCGGGGTGCGAGTGCGCGGCGTGCGACCGCGGCACAGCTTGGAGCCACCACTGCTCGACGGTAGTTCGACGGGCGACGTCGATCGCGACGAGAGGAACGGCGTCGCGGCCGCCCCGCGTAGGATGGGTGCTCGCGCGACCGACGGCGGGCCAGCTTCGTCGCGGCGCGTAGTCCCGTACGTGCGAGAGGCGGCACTGTGAAACTAGAAGAGGAGGTGGTGGTGGAGGAGGAGGACGCGGACGCGGCGCATCCCGAGAGGAAGAGAGAGAGAGAGAGAGAGAGAGTGCGTGGAATCTCGGGGACGAGGGAAGGAGGGAGAGAGAGAGAGAGAGCATTGTCCTCCGCGAGGAGAGCATCGTGTTGTCCTTGCCACGACACTAACCTCAGTCGGTGCTGCGCGCTCAGCCGCGTCACGATCGTCGCACGTCGCGCGCGCGACGTCCGTCCATCCGTCTCGGATCTGTCAATTAAAGGGAGGCCGCGCGCGCTCGAGAGCGAGAGGGCCCGAGTGAGGCGTATCGGGCCGTTCGATCGCACGGGATGCCATCCCCGCCGTCGCCGTCGCCGTCGCCCTCGTCGTCACCGTCGTCACCGTCGTCGTCGGCGTTACGCTAAAAATATGCGGCAGTGAGAAGCCGGACGGCGGAGCACCGCCCGTGGCAGAGAGCGAAGCGGCTGGCTCTCTCGGCTGCGTGTGCTAGGTCCGGTGGTGCCGGACGAGGAGGGGGGTGGGGGAGGAGAAGGAGGAAGGCGACGAGGTAGGCCAGGATCCCGCTCGGTGACGATCGACGGGGGTGATCATCGCGTGCGACAGCCCACCGACGGAAAGGAGCACCGAGGAAAATGGCGGACCTCGAGGCGGTGCTGGCCGATGTCAGCTACCTGATGGCCATGGAGAAGAGCAAGTGCACGCCGGCTGCCCGTGCCAGCAAGAAGATCATCCTGCCGGATCCTAGGTACGCACTCCACACCGCTACGCGATTTCCGGCGGCGTTGCGTGCGGTTCGATACGGGGAGGAGGCGGCGGTTAGGAGGAGGAGGAGGAGAAGGCGGCGGACGCGGCGCGGCGCGGCGCAGCGCGGCGGCGATCCGTCCGCCCGTCTATCCGCACGTCCGCCGGAGGACCTCTCCCCGTTTCCTGCCCCTCCCCGCTTCCGCCAATTTTCTTCCCTGTTTCCTCCCGGCGACGTCTTCCTCCTTCGCGGCAGCGCCGCGAGGCGAGCGTCGCGGTGCTGCCGCGAGCGCCAGGAATAAATTATGTTTACAAACAAAAGCGCGTCTGACCGCTCGCCGCCGAGGGGGGCCCCGAGGCGCGCGTGCCTCCTCCGATCGCAGCCGGCACACGCCGAATTCTTCTCCGGCCCTCCGCGATCCCGCGCTTCGCGCGCGGCTCCACCGCGTAACGGAAACGCGATCTCTCTCGCTCGTACGCGCTCGCTTGGGGGGGAGATCGATCCCCCTCTCCCCCCCCCTTGCCGCCCCGACTTGATTAAATCGTCCGCCCCGTGACATTTTGACGTTGAAAAGTTTCTCCGAGGAGGAAAGAGAGAAACTGACCGGCAATCCACTTCTGATCCCTCACGCGATGATATCGACGTTCCGTATCAATCTACGTGCATGAATAACGCAACGCGCGCGCACACGATGTACTCGTTAAACTTTGGTTTACCTTTGCAAGATTAATACCCGGGATAGAATAAATTTCGTCCCCTCCCCTCTCTCTCTCTCTCTCTCCCTTCCGCGAAAACCTGCCCGCGCTGATCGGTACTTTGCATCGATTATAACGTTGCCAATGTTTACACTGTTCGCGTTATTTTCGGTCCGCAAACCGCGGATGTTAACCGTAGCTCTCGGCCTCGTGAAAATAAGTCGGCTCGGCGGAGCGCGGGCTCCGCTTTTGCTGGCGGCGCGCCAAGCGGAGCGTTTCACGTGCGCGGCCGAGAGGCGCTGAATAAGGGAAAAGCCGCGCGAAGGGCGGCCCCTTTCTCGGGGAGAGAAACGTAACGCGGCCACGCTTTCCCTTTGTGGCCCGGAAATAGACGGCAGCGAGGCCGAAAAGGCGGGCCGGCGAGAGCGGGATCTGGAAATATGCCCGATAAATCGCGTTCTCATCTCTCTCTCCTCGAAACGTCTCGATGACTCATTCTCCATTCCCTCGATTAATACTTAATTAAACTTTTAATTAAGTTTTAAGGCACTAATAGTTTGGGGCGTGTTCCCTGGCGAGTGACGCTTCGCGACACGCGATTCAAATTGTCGAGCGGTCTCTCGGCTTATCTCGAACATCTCTCGGTCCTCCGCGAGGCGGCCGGTCTGATTTATCTCCCCGCCGGGTTTACGTAAAATCGAGCGCATCGGCGATGCGTTCAGCGGCCAAATTCTTACGCGATACTTAGAGCCCATTCATTTACGTAATTAATTTCATGGCTCGGCGGTGCTTCGCGCTGGCGAACAACTAATAGAATCAGTGGGTCGCGTGTCACCAAGTGTCCTTGTATAAACGTACACGCACGCATACACACACACGCGCGCGCACGCAAGGCACCACCGGACACGTCCTATTAATACATCCCATCTCGTGCATCCACGTATATACTCTTTACATCAACGGTATTCGTATGATTCATCTTTATTATCCTCGGCCCGCGTGTAAAAGAAGCGGGCGGCCGCTCCGTTTATCCCGCGAGACAGCTCCGTCAGTCATTCCCTCGCGGAAAAACGGCGTATCTCGGCCTGTGCCGAACCTGCCGCGCGAATGAATGGGCCACGTTGAATATCGGATTACATCCGCCGCGCGTCCGTCAATGGAGCCTTAAAGTCGATTGTCTCGAAGCGTTTCGATTACACCCCGTCGTCGCCTTTCAAACGCCGTCGCTCCCCCTCGCCCTCGCGCGAGCGAAGCGCGCGCGGGCTCCGGGGATATCGATTATTCGACGCGGTATCTCTCTCACGAAAGTTCGCTAAACTGTATTCAGCCAGCGGCAAAGTTGCCCGGAGCCGTGCTCGATCCCTCCAGAGCCGCACGGCGGCGGCAGCGATTCCGCATAATTAAACGCGCGCAGACATTCCCGAGCGCGTCGCCCGGTATACGTTCCGCGACGTTTCCGTAATCTGTCGTTGCGCGTCTACGTCGAAAGGTCGCCCCCCGAGTTGGATTCATCCTCGCGCGAAAGTCGAGTCTCGGCTTTGCGAGCGCCGACGCGAGCGGGATTATCGAATTTTTGCACGACGGGACAAATTCTCCCGGCGCTATAAGTTAGATGTGAATTAACACCGGAAAGTACCGAGCGGTCGTTTCGGAGCTCCTCTATTTTTTAACGCCCTATTTCTTGTATAAAAGATGGGATTCTGAAATTCTATGACTTGCCATCAATCAAGTGGTCGATCGAGTGATTGATGAAAAGTCATACAGATTCCTGTCTTTTGTTATCTCTTGGGCGAGCCTCACGGCAACACATTTTGTTGCCGCCTCACCGTTTGCTATACTTTGCGTCTTATAGTCCGCTTTGCTCTCTGCAGCCTCCATTACTTTGCAATAAATACTCCAATAAAAGTAATAATTTTTTATACAAGAAATAAGGTATTACTCTAAAACATCAGAAACAGTCAGAAATAACCGCTTGATACTTTTAACATTAAACAGCGCGATCCATTGCCATTTTCACAGAGATACTTCCAGTGTTAACCAGCGAGATCCATTGTCACCAGCCATTTTACAGAGCCCTCGCCCCGCGCTCAGCATTCAGCTCCACGTATATTACGTCGCGTAATATCGTGTGCGGCTCGAGAAAAAAAACTGAGAGGAAAATAGCCGGCTCGGCAGTTTTTTTTTTATTGGATTAAGCTCGCGGCTCCGAGGTAATTAAGAGTCTCGCGGAATCGTTGCGCCGTTTAATGTCGTCTCGTTTGGAACTATAACGCGGGCTATAATACGGGTCAGCTTGGTAGACAAGCGCGCGACTATCGATCCCGTTTCTGCGTTTCGGCTCGATTAATCGTCTTGGTCACCGTGCCCCGCGGCCATTAAATTTGGATCAGCCAGGGAGATCCGTTGCCGTTTACCATAGAGGCCCGCGTTCGCATCCCAGCTCCGCGTAAGGGCCTCGGCAGAAAGATTATCGTAAGTCTTTACGATTCCGTAGCTCACATCGCAAGGCGACATACGTCTACGACACTTCTTTGTGCGTTGACGTTTACGATTCTGTCGTGAGACTTAAGTCTGTCGGACGTCAACGCACAAAGAATTGTCGTAGACGTATGTCGCGTTGCGATGCGACGAATGCATTTTGCGATGCACGTTAAGATTCTGTCGTAAGACTTAAGTCCGATACCGACTTAAGTCTTACGACAGAATCGTAAACGTCAACGCACAAAGAATTGTCGTACGTATGTCGCATTTATCGCATCGCAAGGCCACATGCGTCTTAAGTCTTACGACAGAATCGTTACGTGCATCGCAAAATGCATTTGTCGCATCGCTAGGCGACATACGTCTACAATTCTTTGTGCGTTAACATTTACGATTCTGTCGTAAAACCTAAGTCGGTGTCGGACGTCAACGCACAAAGAATTGTAGTGGACGTATGTCGCATTTGTCGCATCACATGACGTGTCTACGACAATTCTTTGTGCGTTGACGTTTATAATTCTGTCGTAAGACTTAAGTGGGTGTCGGACGTCAACGCACAAAGAATTGTCGTAGACGTATATGGCATTTGTCGCATCGCAAGACATACGTCTACGACAATTCTTTGTGCGCTGACTTCCGACACTGACGTAAGTCTTACGACAGAATCGTAAACGGTTACGACAATCTTCCTGCTCAGGCCTTAAGCCGTAAACGAGGGGTAAACCGCTGAGAACATTGTGGTGTATAGATTTGCGGTATTACGGGACGTTAATTACTGCACGTTACTAGACATTATTAGGCATTTTCTGGGTATCAGTTCAGGCATTAGGCCTTGCTCGGGCATTATAAAGATAAAACAAAATAAAATAATTACATCAGTTATTTTTATTGACCGTATCTGGCAATTTTAGTAATACAGAAAATTTATTGCGTTATATAAAATAAAATATTGCCCACTAGGCATTAGTAGGCATTGGTGTACATGATTTTGCGGTTTACCCCTCAGCCGTAAACGTCGTAATAACCAAGCCGTAACGTCCGCGCTTTAGGGTCAGAGCACAAAGCAACGTAATAGCTTACGACAAAGACGTAAGTGCAAACGTAAATTAGCGTACAAGCTTCGGCGTATGTCATACTTCTACCTCGAATTACATATGACGTTAGATTTACGTCAAAACTTGTGCGCTATCTACGTTTACACTTGCGTCTTTGTCGTAAGCTATTACGTTGCTTTGCGCTCTGACTCTTAAGCTTATTCTACAATGAACGCAAAACGCAAGACGCTGTCCTGTGACGCGGCTGAGCCGCAACGCACATAATCGACCGATCGCAGTCAAATATGAGAAGAATGATCGACTGTCATTGGCCGATTTCTTCCATTGTGACTTAGCGTCTTGCGTTTTGCGTCCACTGTAGAACAAGCTTTTAACGGATCGCCGTCGCGGACCGTACTCGCTCGCGCTGATCTGGAGAGGCGAGAGGAATCTCGCTGAGCGCGCGCGCCGCTGTAATCACGCGCCTGAGAAAGTACACGCCTCCGATTTTCTCGTCAACCTTCGACTATTACGGCCGGATCGGATCCCCGATACCATCCCCAATAGGCACATTCTAAAAAATGTCAGAGTGCGCGAGTTGTTTTTAGCTCATTATTTTTGCAACGCCTTTGTGCGACTTCGTGAACAGCAAGTTTGTATCATTCGTCGCGAGAAAGAGAGAGAGAGAGGAGAGGAGAAAGAGAGAGAGAGAGAGAGAGAGAGGCCTGGATCGGCGCCGACGCGTGTTGAGAAAGGCCAGGGGGCTGGGACGGGGGCGTTTGCGCGGACAATT